GGTCAAACACACGGGGCAGATGGATTGACGAAAGGCTGTTTCGTTCTCGGGCAGCGCTCCTCCCTGCTTTGCAAGTGCTTAACTAGAAATGGCCGCAGCTTCTTCAGTTTTGCTAAAGGGATGTCTGACTCGGCGCAAACAGCTACAAAGTGCCTGCACAAACTCTCGTCTTGAATCTGCTGACGAGGTACTTGCTGTAATTGTAGTTTGAAGTGCAGGGTGTGTTTTGGGAAGCACCAGTGTTTTCCCTTGTTTCTGAATGGCTTTTCGAGACTAAATGATCGTTCGCACGTATTTTTGCGGGTCCAATCCACGGTAAGTTGACAATATTTACAAAATAACTTATCGCCGGAGGCAATAAAAAAATCATTCGGATACTGCTGTGCTCTGAATTGAGGTTTAGTGTGGAATTTCGTAAGCTTTTTAGATGATGATGTTGATACCGAAGCAGCTACACGCTTGGACATTGCTGTTGTGTTGTTGTGAAGCAGTGTGGAAGTGACGTGTGCGGTTGTAACACGTGTTAGCGTCGCGGTCATTTTTGCTTTGCACCAAACGTTCCATCGTTTTCCCGAAAACGGAAATTTCAGTCAAATTAATGGCAAATTCCTGCAATATTCCACCGTTTTACAGTTGATTTCCATTTTTATTGGTCCAATTCCGCGATTTCCGTCCGCGATTTCCGTGAACGCGGATTTCATATGGCTCTATCATCTATACCCGAGTTCTCCATGGACACACAAGAGCTCTGAGGGCAGCCATGACGACATGCAGCTCACCCAGTCTGGGAAACACCATCTGTTTCAGGTCAGGTCCTGCATCTAGGAGCTGCACCACCTTTACTCATAAGAGGGCCATGTCAAAGGTAATGGACTGTGGGGTGATCTTCCCCAACTGCCAACTTTCTCAGCTGATTTGCTTGCATGATCACAGTCAACAGAGTTGACCACTCATGTGCCACCTCTGGCAATAGTGGCAAGGCTCCAACCTGTGTCAAGGGAAGGCTTTCAGACAACAGTGAGTTGTATCCTGCCCAGCCTGGAATATTGCTGGAAGTTTCTCCTGCTTTCATTCTGAATAATTCAGATGCAACAACCCATCCTAGATGTGTCAGCTGATAGGATTCTGAGATCCCCTTGCTGATGGCAAACTGTGTAAAATAACCTTGAGGGATGACACTTCTCATATAGTAGGCTATGTGTGGTCCACAACAAATATCAGAAGTCTGAAGAACAGGGCCGTTGCCATAGGAGACGAAAAACTGTGGTCTCACATAAGATTATTATTTTTTTTGCCTGAATTGAATTTATAGATATTTTATATTTATCTATAGAAGATAATGGTCTATTATAGAGTAATAGATGAAAAATAATCAAATCAATTTGTTTTTGTATACTTAAAAAAATGTTGCACAGGTCTTTTTCGACCGACTCATGCATCGAAGGGTTAATGTTGTAAAATGTAGTACCTTTGTTACTACCACCATTGGATTCCTTGACCCTGAAAATGTAGGTTTAAAAGTTAAAATCAATGTTCCAGCTTATTTACAGGCCAAGATATTACAAAACCTACATTTTACGGCGGCCATTTTGGAAATTCCAATATGGCCCCCATATAGACATCTGGGCAAATGGAAACATGGATTTTCTGAATCCTTATACAATACCCTTTCCAAAAATGTATAGTTTAGCAAATCCCCACAAAAATCCCACGAAAGTTAAAATCAAGTTATAATGAACCTGACTATAGCTGTGATCGGGAACTTCCACCAAATCTGCTAAATGTATCCAGCATATTTGTATTTGTTATGACCTTTGTTAGATAATTGAGAAACCAAAAAATGAGGGAAGGGAGAAAGGGGAATATCATGCAACAAAAGCTCAGGAACTATATTGTACAATGCTGCTAATTATTATGATTTTCACTTTGTTATGATTTTTTTAGCAGGGATATGTACTTATTTGATTTAATTAATATTTGCTTGCCTCTTTTTTTATATGTTAGCCTTTTTGTATGTGTCTTTTTGTCTGCACTGTCCTTTTGCTTTAACAATGTCATTTTACCAGCTGAATCAATGATTTTCAGTTTCAGTTAAATGTATAAAGTATGTACCTTAAACATTCAAATTGGGTAGTATGAAAAATAAATCGCCATATATAAAAAATTCAATGCGAGGATGATATAGGCTAATTAGCAATCATTTTCCCTCTATAAAGACACTGACAAAAAGAGGTGCCTTTCTTACCCTCGAGAGGAAGCACATGGTGGAGGTCCCCCCACACATCATATCCACCGGTCCAGTAGTCCATCACCATCATGGGGCTGTTAGGCTGACACAGTGAAAACAATGTCCAACATTTGGCTCACTGTCCAGCGTTTAATCACTGTTAACGTGATATCTTCAATGTCAGAAAGTCACATATTGTGGAAAGTAAAGATACAGACCTGGAGAGAGTTCAGATCCTGGATATCTCTCTGATTAAGCTTCTGCAGCTTCACTGATCTGATGGCTACAAGATAGGAGATCACAATGTATGTGTGTGTATTATTAAACAGCCTCCATTATGCATTTAGGGCTGTCGTTTTCCTGTAGTGTGTTAGTACATATAATGGTCTGCAAAGGCTCAAATCCCTGTGTTCCCTCCAGAGGGAGTTTCTCTCTTCTCACACACTCATTTGTTTACTTCCATAACATAGTGACATCACTACGTAAACATTTCACTTCTATTGGCTAGCGCTCAACACATTGTACGTGATAGGCTAAGGGGCGGGATATCTCCAAGCTGTTGACCAATCACAAGAGAGCCGGTCAGCTAACCAATCAGAGCGGACTGGGCTCTGGTTTCAGACAGAGGGTGAAAAAAGGTGCTGCAGCACAGGCAGTATGAGAAAAATAAAGAGCTTTTTGAACATTAAAGCATGGAGACATGTCACAGTAGAGACACTACATACTGATATGAACCTGAAGATGAGCAGAATATTACTTGTACCTCCATCCACACCTCCAGACTTTAATGTGTTGTGGTTGTCTGATGTGAGCAAGAGCTCGCTGATCCCTCTGGACTGTAAAGCCTTTCAAAATAGAGAAAATATATGAACACTATAATAATGATCCATTCTATCATTATCAATCTCTTTTTATACAAGTATGTATTTTTACGCAGGTTTAAAGTGGCAATTTGAATTAAGCAAGCCTAATACATCACCTCTTTAATAAACAGCATGTAACTTTCGTCCTTTGCATATGAACCATACTCGTTTTCCACCTGCACTGCAATGATTGGACCTCCCTTCTTGTACTAAAAAACATAAACAATGACAGTAGGTTATATGATCTAGACATAAACCAGACTTGGTTATATCTCTCACAGGCTCCGCCCTCTACTGGACTCTATGGGTACTACCTTATCATGCAAGCATTCACCTACTATACTGAGACTTCTATAGACGTAGGCGCCTGGGGGGGGCCTACCTGAATGAGCGTGCATCTCACCGTATAAAAGGAGGCCTCGCCTCCTGACCGTCATCCCTTTCTCTTCAGCGAGCGGAAGTGAATACTGAGCAAAGACGTGAATAGAGAAAGAGAAGAAAAGTGGACTCACCACTCCTTGAGCCCTGGACCTGCCCGACATACCCTGGCCTGACCGCGGGGGCTGATCCGCATCGCCTGTGCTTCCAGTGCCTGGGGCCGGACCACACCGAAGACGGCCTAAGCCAGTCGCCGGCCTGCAATGCCTGCCGGATGATCCCTCGTCTAAACCGCCGACAACGTGGGGATCTTTTCCGGGTGAAGTTCGGCCAGGGTTCGGGTGGCCACGGTCACGGAGGAGGAAGACGACGACGCCGCCTCGTTGTCTGGTACTTTGGGGTCCGGCGGCCAGGAGGGCCCAGCACAGGTCTGCACGTCTGGACTTCCCGGCAGTGATGACCCTGGCGGCGGAGCGTGTGGGCCTACCGCTCCCCCCCACCACTGCCACGAGGCCAGTAAGCCGCCTTCGACAGGGGTTTTATGGCCCGGTGCATCAGCCGGCCTTCGTCTCGCCCTCGGTGCCAGATGTCTGGCAGTATGTGGAGGCGACGTGGCGGCAGCCATTGAGGACGAAGGCCCTGATAACAGCCATGGCAGGTGTCATCAGGGTGCACTGCTCGGACACGGCGTGTCCCGGTGTGCCCCCCCTCGACGAGAGTCGGCCGGCCCATCTGCTTCCGCAGGCAGCTGGTTGGGCAGAGGGAAAGAAACCTCTGGCCCCGCGGCAGCTGTGCCGCGGGACCGAGAGACCTTAGAATATTTGGATAAAATATTCAGGCTCGAGGCACAGATGGCGGCTGCGACGAATAATCTTGTGTCTCCCTGTTTACCCCTCAGACGGACACCCCTGCCCTCCCGCCTCAGGACGGGAGCAATTATCCGGACCGCTGCATCGGTCAGATGAATAATCTGATCCATAGAGTGGCCGCCGCAGCGGGGCGGGTGATGTCCTTGGCCACAGTGGCGTCGCTTCACCTGTGGCTAGGACTCACCGCCCTATCCAAGAAGGACCGAGAGGGTCTCCTCGGAGCTCCCTTGTCCACGGAGGGGCTCTTCGGATCGATATCCTTGATCACCCAGCGCTCCAGCCGCCTAGAGGAGGAGAGGGGGCAGCTTAGCCGCATGCTAAGCTACCGCTGGCTCTTTCTCAGGCACCGCAGCATGCTCCTCCAGGGGCTTTCCTGCAGACGAGGGAGCGCAGCACGACGGTGAGACGAAGGGAGAGGTGCCGGCACGGCGCTCCCGTGCCTGTGGCGCCCTCCACCTCTTCGGCCCACCCCATGGAACCGGCGTACCGGCACTCACGGGGGCGGGCTGCCTGACCTTGGCAGGCTCCGCAGCAGCAGAGAGCTGACGGTAGGGGTGTTTAAATTAATCGTTTCTATGATGCATCGCGATGCGGGCGTGGACGATTCTGCATCGATGCAGTGACAGAACATAATCGATTATAGAGTGGCGAAATCCCTCCCCTTCCAGTGGATCTCCAGGGGACCTTATTTCGGAAAAATTAAGTCAATGGAGAGAGAAAGATTATCTTTCGATCCCGTTTGAATTGTGCCACAAATTACAGATATGATGTTTGTCAATTTAAAAGATAATTTTGCAAGTAAAAAAAATAAAAAATGTGTCGTAAAATTGTGAAGTAACACATTTGTTTGTGTGAAACGCTGAATGAACTACATCTCCGGTCTAGCAGAACAACACACGTGACCAAGATGGCCGTTACTGTCTTGTCAACAAAAGGATTGCCTACCCTCACTATTACCACAATGAAACACGTCCAGAAGTATGTGATGCAAAGCTGCCTGCCTGCCTTCCTTTGATTCTCTCTCTCTGATCTTTTTAATGTTTAATGTCAACCATTTGTGCGGATAGCGTGAAGTAGAAAAGATTGCAGATGCTAATATAGCATTAGCATTTCTCCCCCGGGCTTACATTGGGTTCACAAAATATGACTACTACTCTTACTGTTTAACATGTTGGGTTACTAAATGTTACTTCATGTTAAGGCTAATAAAAATGACAAGGCTGACAACTATATGCTGTGAGCTGATTATCGAGCCTTCATTGTAAGAGTCGCAGGTACACTGTGTACGTGCGTGTTCCACTGTAGCGCCCGGTACATTAATGGGAAACCCTAGTTTGAACATGTTCAATACATTTGTAACTGTACACATGAACGTTTCTTTTTTCTCCAAGCTGAAATCAAATGTTGGCAGCCCTGCAGACTGTAATGCTAACTAACGTGCTAGCTACTAGCTAGGTAGCTAACTTGATCCAGCCACACCTGGTCCTTTCATCAGACGGGATGCGAAAGAACGAGCAAGACCCATTGCTGGTATGATAACAACCTGGTACTAAGCACACAGGCATCTTGTTAAAGTTATCTTATCTTAGCCAGCGCCATATAGATAGATTATATAGATCTATATGGCGCTGATTTTAGCTATCTCTTAGTGGAGGAAAACAGTTATGACATCACTTACTCACTCTGGGATTNGGCGAGAGAAAGATTATCTTTCGATCCCGTTTGAATTGTGCCACGAATGACACATATGATGTTTGTCAATTTAAAAGATAATTTTGCAAGTCAAAACAAAAAAATGTGTCGTAAAACTGTGAAGTAACACATTTGTTTGTGTGAAACGCTGAATGAACTACATCTCCAGTCTAGCAGAACAACACACGTGACCAAGATGGCCGTCACTACTGTCTTGTCAACAAAAGGATTGACTACCCTCACTATCACCACAATGAAACACATCCAGAAGAATGTCATGCAAAGCTGCCTGCCTGGCTTCCTTTGATTCTCTCTGAACTGCCTGGTCTTTTTAATGTTTAATGTCAACCATTTGTGCAGATAGCGTGAAGTAGAAAAGATCGCTGATGCTAGTGTAGCGTTAGCATTTCTCCCCCGGGCTTACATTGTGTATTGTAGAATGATCACACCGGTAACAGTACTCTTCAAAGGGTTCACAAAATATGACTACTACTCTTAGTGTTTAACATGTTGGGTTACTTAATGTTACTTCATGTTAAGGCTAATAAAAATGACAAGGCTAGGCTGTAATGCTAACTAACGTGCTTGCTACTAGCTAGGTAGCTAACTTGATCCAGCCACTCCTGGTCCTTTCATCAGACGGGATGCGAAAGAACGAGCAAGACCCATTGCTTGTATGATAACAACCTGGTACTAAGCACACAGGCATCTTGTTAAAGTTATCTTATCTTAGCCAGCGCCATATAGATAGATTATATAGATCTATATGGCGCTGATTTTAGCTATCTCTTAGTGGAGGAAAACAGTTATGACATCACTTACTCACTCTGGGATTTGTAGTCTTTCTAGTTGCGTATTTTTCATAGTCTTATATTTCAACAGTTTTACGACAAACTGTGACTTTTTTGACATGGAAATGATTTTTTAAGATTGACAAACATACTGTATGTGTAATTCATGGCACAATTCAAACGGGATCGAAAGATACGTTTTCTCTCTTCATTGACTTCAATGCATAATTTTTCCGAAATAAGGTCCCATGGACCGGAAGTAGATGGGCGTGACTTCGCCACTCTATACCTCATTCAGTTATCTTCACATACTTGGCCTTTACCAAATTGTGCTTACTGCAAATTTGGATTTTGCACTATAGTCTAAATTTCGGTTTTGATAACATTTCGAATCATTGTGCCGCCCCTATTTTCTATAACACTTCCTAAGTTGCTTTGTGTGATCCCGCTAACAAGCC